ACTCCATCGGAATAATTCGTTTTTCAGTAGGATCCAAGCGAATGCTGCCAAAATCAGTTAAATATTATATCATATATTATTCACTTGTATGTATACTTTATTATTATATTATATAAAATAAAAATAATTTTCCAAGCACATTTGTTGGCTACGAATATTATAAGGTAGAGATAGGCGTGAATTCAAGATTTTTTTTTTATTTTCTTTATTTTTATTTTCTTTATTTTTTATTTTTCGGTAAGCAACGGACCACAACAAATTATACATAACATATATATATAAGAATATATTTAATAATTTATTAAAATATTTCAGTTTAAAAATCATATTGTACGTATTGTTGTAGACACGAAAGTATAAAACCTAGTTAGCCAAAAATTTAATTTTGGTTCTTTAAATTGATCATTGTCCGAAATTGATATGTTAATTTACCTTCTCAAAAGATATAGTTAGTTAAATTGTAAATTTTCTCAATTTTTGGCAAATTAATTCTAGTCGTTGGGATTACTAGTTGCTGACATGGCGCGATAAAATTTGAGGATTGCCTACGTGTCGTATTACATGACAAGTGAGACGTAGCAATTTTGTTCCTCTAATTTGATTGTTTTTTCAATTTCAGTTCATTAACGATTGGCTTCAATTTTAGTACATTAATTAAGTTCCAACTTTTATCAATTTTTATTTACTAATTTCTATAATATTGTAATAGTAACTTTTAAATACAATTTTAATATTGTTTCCTGCACGAGCTATACACTAGTTTTTGAATAAAATGACCATATATGATTAGTTCTATTTTTCAAATCAAACACATGCAAAATACGTACTCTCCATCAAAATTAATTAAAGAATGGCCGGTCCCCTATATATATAATACCCGAATGTCCTAAGTCTACGTGGCTGCTTCTGGTGCTTCGAAATTTTACTTGGCGAATAATCATGCTTCGTAATTATGTTTGGACAAATAATATTGATACTAGTACAACACTCGTGTATTACACGGGTGCTTGCTAATTTTTTCTTAAAATTTAAAATTAATGAGAAAAAGTAGGTTGAAATATTAAATACCTTTTATAAGAATATATATATTATTATATATTTATTATGATACTTTTTATTTGTGTGACTTACTTGTGTTATATTATATTAATTTTTTAACTTACAATAAATAACTACATTAAATATAAATATATCAATTGAGAAATAATTTTATTTTTCTAATGAATTTTAATAAATAATATTTGATAAATATAATTTATTTATTTTATATATACAATATGGATGTCAAATCGAAGATCATCAAAAGATTATTAATTTGATATATTATATATGTAAAACCGATAAGAAATACAAAAGTTATCAACTTTTAAAATACATTTATAATTCAATAGCTTATTGAAGGAAGCAAATCAAAATTTAAGGATATATTAGTCACTTAGTGCTTCACTATGTAAAATTACAAATAATTAAAAGGTTATATTAGTAAAACTGATATTAAAATACCTAAGTTAATTAAATAATATTTATGAAATACTCGAACCTAGATTAATTATTAATATATCAATATTATTTGTCCAAACCTAATTACGAAGTATGATTCTTCGCCAAATAGGATTACGAAGCACCAGAAGCAGCCACGTAGGCTCAACGCATTCGGGAATTATATATAGGGAGGATATTAATAATTGATAACTAGGTTTGGACATTCTATAAATATTATTTAGCTAGCTTAAGTAGTTTAATATCACTTGTACTAGTATAACCTTTAATTCTTTGTAATTTTATATAGTGAGACACTAAGTGACTAATATATCCATAACTTTTGGTTTGTTTCCTTAAATTAGCTATTGAATTGAAAATGTATTTTAAAAGTTGATAACTTTTGTGTTTCTTATCGGTTTTATATATATAATATATCAAATTAGTCGTCTTTTGATGATATTCGATTTGACATACATATTATATATATAAATTAAATAAATTATATTTATATTTATAATAATAAAAAATAATAATATTTATTAAAATTCATTAGAAAAATAAAATTATTTCTCAATTGATATATTTATGTTTAATGTAGTTATATGTTGTAAGTTAAAAAATTATTATAATATAACACAGGTAAGTTGCACAAATAAAAAGTGTCATATTAAATGTATAATAATATATATATTTTTACAAAAAATATTTAAATTTTCAACTACCTTTTCTCATTAATTTTATATTTTAAGAAAAAAAATTAGAAAACACCCTGTAATACACGGGCGTGTACTAATTCTATTTAAATATAAATAATACTAGTGGGCATAAAAAATGAAAGATCAATTGAAATATAACAACTTAGTTTTGTCACGTAATTAAATAAAGTCTTCGGCTTGATTCTATATTGGATTATACATGAATATATATATATATAAAATATTTAGGTATATATGTGAAAAATCACGTATGTGTTTGCAATTATTGGATTTCATATTATATACTATATACTACTTTTCATTTTTCTTTGACCCTATAGATTCTTTTTTTTTTTTTTTTACCAAATCAAATTCTTTAATTTGATTTTAACCACATCCATCATTGGGAGGCAAAAGTAATTGGAAGAAAAAATTGAAGTATTAAGCATGCATCCTTGACCTTAATTAAGCATATATATCAAGAAAATTATAAACTATCTATATTTATTATAATTTTAAAGCAATTTTCTAGGAGAAAATAAACGCGATCGAGTATATAGTATATACCCATTTGTCTGAGTTCGATAATGTTTGCAAATATTAATTAGTCTAATATATGTATATATATATTTTTTATATGAATGATATATTTAGTATTAATATATAATTTCTGAAACATGATTTAATTTTATAAAAAAAAAAAAAACAGTTATTTTTGAATTCAAATGATTTCGAACTAACTGAAGCTCTTATTAACAAACTTTTAACACCGTAAACTCGAGCTCGACTTCAACTCCTTTCTAAAAACTGGTATTTCTTCTCTCCCTCACTCACGTACCCACACAAATACGGAGACAAAGGGTGGGGCCCACAAGTCAGACTCACTGTGTCACGGGTGGCTGATGAAAGAAGACCTCATCGGGAATTGCAAACACACACACAAACACACACACTCAACAATTTAGTTTACTATCATTAATATTTTTTTTCTCTATTTATTTAACCCCCAATTATATTATATTATAAATAAAATAAATAAATAAATTAACACGGAATTCGAAATAATAATTTTATGGTTGTGTGACTGTGAGTTGAAAAGTAGTCAAACTTTTTAATTATGGTGCAATGATTTTTATTTTTATTTTTTTATTTTTTATTTTTTTTTTTCGGGCGCACGGGGCTATTATAATTTAGAAAGTCACCTCACTTTTTACATGCATCATCGTGTTTTATTTACCTTTTTCACCTCGCTTTTGGGATCTCAATCAAGTGTTCAATCAAGCTTCAAAAAGTAGGCAACAGATTTTTAATTTTTTTTATATATAGATAATATATAATAAAAAAGAAATAAAAAAAAATAAACTTTTTGGAGCAACATTTAAGTAGAGAATATTTTTCTTCTGCTTTTTATTAAGTAGAGAAATTTTGTTTTCTTGTTACTGCAATTGATCATTAGGTTTTGGTCCCAATATCAGTAAATTTAATATTCTACATTTTCCTACAATATGTCTCAAACCATTATCAAGCTGGCTTTTTTTTTTTTCAATCTGATTTTTTAAATAATAATATTGTACATAATTGTATCATAACATTGAACTGTTCTGTCGGGGTTTGTAACCGATAGATCATCATCTAATCGTCGGGGATAGTTGATGCAACGGTTACAAACCCCGAAGGAATGGTTCAGCAACAGGACCATAGCATCTCCACATATCTGTACATATATTTATCCAATTAAAAAAATATGTAAATAGAGCATGAGATCTGAATTAACATCTTTAATTGGTTCCTATCCCAAAATTTATTCAGAAAATAAAAATAAAAATAAAAAATGATTGTCTATGAATTTTCGAACAGCACAGACACATGAGAACAATGGGTGCACTTTATATATTTATTATTATGTCCCTATGTAGTAGTAGTAGTATTAATATTTCAATCCAAATTAATATTGTACTTTTATTCCCAATAAGATGCAATAAATATTTTTCTTTCATTTATTCCAAAACAAAAAAATAGTAAAATGATTCTTGATAATTGGAATTTAGCTCGAAAAACTACGTTTTTTTTTTTTTTTTGACACACAGCTCTACAAATTCTTGTTACAAGCAGCATACGTCCAATGCATACGTACAGCAGATAAAAGTTTTTATATATCTCTAGAGAGAGAGAGTGTGTGTGTGTTACAGTGTTAGAGAGAGAAAGTGTGGGCCCCACCTGCTGCTAAATCTATGGCTGACCGACTTTGAAATTGAGATAAAGAGATAGGAATTTGGAGAGGGGGAGTCTCTATATGCTCATTTGCAGAGAGAGAGAGAGAGAGAGAGAGAGAGTGTGAGAGAGAGAGTGTGTGTGTGAGAGAGAGAGAGAGAGAGAGAGAATTAAAAGATTGGATCAAAATATATTCTCATGAGTTTTGGTGTTTTTCTCTTGAAACAAAACAAGACACCAAGTAGAGAGATCTCTTTGTGAAAGAGGTCAGCAAGAGTTAGCTGTTTTCTAGTGTGTGTGTGTGTGTGTGTGTGTGTGTTTTAAGGATTCAAAAGTCCACACTTTTCTAGTGTGTGTGTGTGTGTGTGTTCTTTGGGTTCTTTCTAGTGTTTTTTTGGAGCAATCTGAGGATGTTTATTAGCTTCTCATATGTTTGTATTGGGAAGAATCTCTCTCTAATCTCTCTATAGCTTCCAAATAGCCTTTTTTTTTTGTTCTCTTTCTCCCTTCTTTAGCGGTGTAAAAACCACCAACAAAAAGGCCTCAAAATCTTAATTCTCATCATTTTTTTCCTTATTAAAGACCACTTTTTTTCTGCTAAAAAAGAAGAAAATGATGTCTGGTGATATCTTCTCCCTTCCCAATCCTCATCAAGATCAGCTCGAAACAAACCCTAACTCCAGACCTAATCCGAACCCGATCCCGAGCCCGAGCCCGAACCCCACCAAGAAGCGAAGAAATCTACCAGGTACACCAGGTACATATATAACACTAGCTAACTATATCATGTACAAAACCACACATCCCACAAAATAAAAATCCAATCTTGAAATTAATTTATTAAAATCTTGGCGTATTTCTAATAAAGATACAATTTTTCGATGACCCATCAAAATCTTTAATGATGAATGATTTTCATTTTTTCTCAAAAATAAAAAAAAAAATAAAAAAATAAAATAAAAAAATTATCAGATCCAGATGCAGAAGTCATTGCACTATCACCCAAGACGCTCATGGCCACGAACCGATTCGTGTGCGAAATCTGCAACAAGGGCTTCCAAAGGGACCAAAACCTTCAGCTCCACAGACGAGGCCACAACCTGCCATGGAAGCTCAAGCAGCGGGCCAACAAGGACCAAATCAAGAAAAAGGTCTACATATGCCCCGAGAAGACATGCGTCCATCACGACCCGGCCCGGGCACTCGGCGACCTCACGGGCATCAAAAAACACTTCAGCAGAAAGCACGGCGAGAAGAAGTGGAAATGCGAGAAGTGCTCGAAAAAATACGCGGTTCAGTCGGACTGGAAAGCCCACTCCAAGACCTGCGGGACGAGGGAGTATAAATGTGACTGTGGCACTCTTTTTTCCAGGTAATAATAATTGGGAGGGAAAAATTTCTTGTGTTGTTTTTGGGCAAGAATTTAATGCTAATGCCATTGTCACCTGAATTTTGTTCTCTCACTTTTGCAATTTAATGTCTAGCTACCAAATGATTAGGTAATAAGTGCAAAGCATGTATTTAATTTCATTCTCTCCACATGTGTAATGTTTTGTGTTTTGTTGTCTGTTTCGTGTGTAGAAAGGATAGTTTCATCACACATCGAGCCTTTTGCGATGCGCTAGCCGATGAAAGCGCGCGGTTCACGAATATCGGAGCCAATAGCTTGAACTTCAGAAGTCAAGATTTTGTGAACCGTAACAACAACAACAGCAGCAACAACAATAATAGTAATAATAGTAATAATAATTTGATGGGCGGATTGGGATTTGCGAATCCGAATCTTGCCGGAGGCTTCCGTTCGCCGGACTTCGGCCCGATTCTCGGAGGTGACAACCACCACCACCACCACAAGCCCGGCCTCCCGTTGTGGCTAAACCACCAAGCAAATCCTCATCTCAACCCAAATATCGACCAAAGTTCGGGTCTTTTCATGGCCCATGACATGATCCAAATGACTACTAGCCCGAATAATCTTTTCGGGCCGCCGGGGGCGGCCCAATCGATGGGGACTACTACCTATTCGAATCTCTCTTTGTCCTCATTGCAAGGGAATATGAAAGAGGAGCCCGTGATGGGCGGGAAAATGGTAGTCGATCACTCTTTAGTATCCTCGCTCTACAGCTCGGAAAATAATGGGCCGGCCGCGATGTCTGCCACGGCCCTTCTCCAGAAGGCGGCCCAAATGGGATCCACGAAGAGTGGGCCCGGCTTTTTTGGGAACACAGTTGGGGTTATGAATTCGGGCTCGTCCCCTTCGTCGTCCTCGACAAATGCTGCGCTGTCTTTTGGGGGGGCTCAGGCAGGGAGGAGCGAGCTCCACCAGGTTTTTGGGGCGGTCATGGACGGTTTTGACGGTGGAGCAATTGGTCGAGCACCTGGTGGGCAGGTTAATGGGAGGGGGCTGCATGGGGCGGCGGAGAGTGGCGGGCTGACGAGGGATTTTCTGGGGATGGGCGGCGGAGAAGGCGGAGAGGGAGGGCCGTTCTCGCCGCAGGAGCTGGCGAAGTTCGTGTCCATGAGCTCGGCCATGGGGCTCGGCGGCGGACACTTTACCGGAGATCACTAGCTAAAGCCGGCCGCGTGTTTTTTTTTTTATTATTTTTTTCATTTTCCTTTTATTTTGATTTTTTTTCCTTTTATTTTGATTTTAATTATAATAATGAATGTGGTGATGAGTCGAGAGAGTAGAAACCTTGTAATGATATGCCATGTCATCATATATATATTTATATATATTCCCGGTCAATTTCTACGTGAAAAAATTTGACTGTTTTATCAACGTCCGGCTAGAACAAAAAAGAAAATTTGAGTAGTGCGGGTGGCTTGATTCGTAGTGACTTGGGTGGATGGTTTGCGGGTTTTCTTATGAATATTGGGACATGCTCCATCACGACTGCTGAATTATGGGGTCTCTTCTAGGGGCTTCAACTAGCATGGGAGAAGGGGTTTCGTCAGATCATTGCCGAGGTCGATAGTCAATGCGTGTCGCGGATGGTGCGCTCTTCAGATGAAGTGTGTGGTGCGAACGCCACCTTAGTGGGGGCCGTGCGGAGTTTACTACAACGAGAATGGATCGTTAAGGTCGAACATGTTCACAGGGAGGCAAACTTTGCGGCGGATCATTTAGCGAGCTTGGTGGCTTCCGGCCCGATTGGATTGCAGAGGTTGTCTTCTCCACCTTAGGGACTTGGCACATGGCTTGACCATGACATTATTGGGGTCGCTTACCCCTGTAGAATTCTAGTTTAACTCAGGCTTTTGGCCTCTTTTTTTGTACCAAAAAAAAAAAGAACAAAAAAGAAAAGGTAAATAGAGTAATTTATTTATTAATTTGCAAAGTAATTTTAACCTTTCTTACATAGATACCAAAAATAAGGGAAATGTCATGGTCCTGTTACAAAACTATCTCGTTAGATGTTTTAACCGTTAGATTACTAACACATGTGTATCCAACGATTATAACTCCCGACGGGATGGTTCCGTAACAGAACCGTAGTATTTCCTCCAAAAATATATATCATGAGTACGTTAAACAATTTCGAATAAATATTTATGCTCTCTGCTACTGATGAATCAATCTCTTCCTGTTTTCTTTTAGGACTTTTTTACAATTATAATTATGTTAATTATTAGGTTCTATATATCTATCGAAAATGTATTTATACGGATTAATCGTATCTTCTTCAAATTAGTGATATGCTTAATAAATATTTTTTTATTAATGACTACTTTAATGTTGAACTTTCATGGCTTTACAAAAAGTTGATTAACAATTTGAAAGACTTTGACATTTGACTTTACACACTAAGCCAATGCTATGACACTGATTGGAATTAGGGTAGAATGTTAGGTAAACGGAATATAGCACAACTTGTACAATATTTTTAGGAATAATAATAATAATAATAGGAAATGCTATGATCCCGCTACGGTACTATCTCGTCGAGTGTTTTCACCGTTGGATCATCTATCTTATACTAGCTACATGTGTATCCAACAGATAAAACACCCGACGAAATGATACTGAAAATTTAGCATTTCCCAATAATAATACTCAAAAGATTCTAATGTTTGTCCTTTGCATATGTTTTGACCTCAAATTTCCTCAAACCCACTACCAACTACTATTTATTTTAATTTAATTTTGTTGAATTGTGGGGGAGTGTAAAAAGTGGGATAAATAAAAAGCTTTTAGAAAAATGCAGCACACAACAAAGTCCGCAAAAAGAGACTGTTGTTTTCCATATTTGAAAAGGTACAAATCATACTATGACTTACAGTTGAAATAATAATAATAATAATAATAATAATAATAATAATAATAATAATAAAAAAAGGAAAGTTAGATGACTTCAATTTTATTACATAAAAATTTGTTGTTTTATGTTGTTACACATTCAACTTTTTGCTGCTTTTTGTTGTGGAAAGTTGACTATTGTCTCACTTTTTGTTAGTTCCTAGAAATCAGCCCCCACTGTCAATTTAGCTTAAACACGAGTTTTCACTTTTTTACCCGACAGTCAAATTTTTTACTTAGTAAATAGATGTGTGTGTGTGTGTGTGTGCTTGAGCTTTTGGAATGGGTAAGGCTGTCATTTGGTAACATGTAGCATCAAAAGTGTTGATTATTTTTTATTAAATATGATGTAGTCATCTAGATCAGCTCGGTTATGAGTTTGATTCGGAGGATTGGTCGAGCCGTTTGGGTTGTAGCTCGAAGGAATAGATGTAGAAATCAGCTTGAGGTCGTTCATTTTGAATTGTTACGTTTGAATTTGGGTCTTTAAATGAACTAACCGTATTCTGGATGAGGCAACGGGTATGGGGATCCGAATGAGACTATTATATATAAATGAGAGTGTTAGTATCTTTGAGAGACCTTTTCGGAGTTGGTGGGATTTTGTGTGTTTACGAGAGATTGGAGAAAAGGTATAACATATATATACATAGAACATCAACATGTATCAGAACTTGAACTGAAGTATCATTGTTCTTTCGTGTGCAGCTGTGTAAAGGGTTCTTATTTGTATTCGTAAGTTGACTTCACTGTCAAAGTGTTATGCGGCAAGCCCCTCTCGAATGTTGTAGGCATGGTTCTAAGAATTGAACCGGTCATTGAACCGGTAAAGCTACTGGTTCAATGGTTCACTGGTCGGACCAGTGGTCGAATCGGTCGAACCCGTTTAATGAATATATAATTGTTTATTTCTAAATAAGATATTTTATTGGACTTTAGTTTTAACCAATTTTGGAATCTAGTCTAAGTTTGTATTTTAATTTTTAAATTAGAGTTTAGCTTATTTATTTATTTATTTATTTTCAGTTTTGGCCCTTTCGAACAGCAATACATCGAGCCTCGTTATTGTTCGGGAAAATTATGTACATGTAGCACCATGTATATATATTTACATATATACATCCATTCCAAACATTAATCAAACAGGTTTATTAATGTAGGAGAAAATTTCGTGATTTTATTTCATTTGTACGAGATTTGGATTGTACCAAATCTGATAGTTTCTCTGCCCATATAATGAGCATGGCATGATGGCCCCAAAAAATAATTTTGGTAAAAAAAATTAGATATACTTTATATATACTTCATCATAACCACGAAAAATATATGTTCAGATATACTGTATATATACATTAGATAAACATGATCTGATATTTCTCACTGTATAGTTATACATATAATAAGCAACATATAAACAACACTAAAACAGTATAAAAACATAATATACAATTCTGAATGATTGCAAAATCCAATGTAGTTATACATTAGATAAACAACATATGTCTACTTTACTTGAAACTGAATTGAACTTAGAATTTAATTCAAATATATTTCAACTTTACATGACATTTACAAAATTCAATCAACAACTTTGTGCACTCCAAAAAACATCACAATATATACTGTGTATAACTAGTGTATAATTTGTGTATATGTTTATTACACTCCTGGTGAATGATTCCGTCGACCCTTACGGTTTTTTGGGTCAAATTTTGGGATATCCAAGTCCATCTCACTGTCGTCTTTTAAAACATTCGCACCCACTTCACTCAAATATTCTTCTTCCTCCTCATCAAGTTTAAAATTCGAATCGGACTCTTGTTCATTATTTGGAGGCAACAATTTTCGCTTTGCCTTTGTTTTCTCGAGCCCTCTTCTTCTTGGTATGGTCGATCAACTTATTTTCTTTTGGTTTGATTTTATGTTCGGAAACAAATTATCGTCGTCGTCCGTCCCACCCTCGGCGCTCTCTAGATTAGGCTTTTTGGCACAGCTCGGGGCCTTCATTTTCTGAAATTGGAGCTTTTTTTGTACAACCTTGTGAGTGGGAGATTGAACTTGAGATGTGATGAGATCAGGAGCGAGTTATTCTTGCTTCGTCTTCACTTTTAGAGGATTTGTCATCACTTTTTTTCGCTTTTCCATTCTTCAATTAACTGCAGAGATTCGATTGTTTTGTGTAACCGAGATGAAGTCTTTTTGGTGATAGACGAAGTTCTTTTTTTTTTTTTTTTTTAAATTTTGTGATAGATGAAGTCCTTGGACAAATTATGGCTGATTTATTTGGTGAAGATGATTCAAATTTTCGGTGATAGAATGGAGAGATAAGTTCTTGGAGAGATAATAGACTAATAGAGAGATGAAGTTATTTTTTGATGGTAGACAACTGTGACCGAGATTTAGAGAGAGAATAGGGGATTTGCTTTCTTCTTTTCAATTGAGTGTAAAGGTGGTGGATTGTGACGATTTCGAATATCATGCAAGATTTTAATTGAGGGCATTTATTTGATTGTTTTTAAAAGCTGACTCAAATAATTGCCATAATCAAATATAATTGTCTAATTAACCATGCGTAATTGTGATGAAAAATTGGTATTATCGTACAATTGATAATATTTTCATAAGCAAGTGTACAGGGATTAATTTTCGTTATAGCTAATTGGGCTTTATTTTAATTATTAATAAACCTGCCAAGTGCAGTGTATCTTTACTTGGGCTAATTGGGCCGTCCAAGTTGGAAAAATGAAAATTTCCATAGTGTTGACTTTTCTTTTACAACTGGTCTTATTGTGCCCATTCAAAACTTAGACAGTGTCGTCCACCAATATTACGTTGAATTATAAAGGCCCAATTAGAGCTTATGTCATTTAATTTCCACCA